ACTGTACGGTCATCAAGACCACCGCAGATAAGGACTAGTAATGGCTCCGCCCTCCCCTTTCCTCTTCTTTCCTCCCCCGTCCTCCCCCTGCCCCGTCTCAGTAAAAGAGTTCAGGAGAGGTTTGTGTTTTCACACCTAAACATCTGTATTAATGAGGTCAGAGGTCAAAAAACAAGACCCCATCCCTGACTTCCCCCAAAAGCCTTCCACCCTAACCCATCCTTCTTTCCCACATCTCCCCTCTGTCTCCCCTCTGTCTCCCCTCTCTCCACCCCTGTCATCACTGACTGCTCTCTCTGGTTGAGTGCTTGAATCTGCTCAGTTCAGTGATCAAAGTCTTCCTCAGACTCTTCTCCACCGCCCCCGGGTGTGTGTGTGTGTGTGTGTGTGTTATCCAGTTTCAAACTGCAGCTCTCAGTCGTCTAGAGCTGCTCTTCTTACTTTCTCTCAGTATTAATTCCCTTCCAGTCTGTGTTCCATTATCTCGATCAGATAAGACACACACACACACACACACATACATACACACTCTATGATCAGTGAGAGGTCTATAAATAATGACAAATGCAGCGGCTGCTGCTCTGAACTTTAACTGGAACTGTTTCTTTGCCTCAGTTTTCAGCAGGTGTGTGTGTGGGTGTGTGTGTGTCAGTGTATGTGTGTGTATTTGCCATTCCTTTTACAGGTGGCTTTTCTTTTGACAACTGTCAAAATATATTAAGGTGGTATTTTGGAAATATTTTTCACAAAAACAAATCTTTAATGAAAGTACAAATACAAAATACACATATGTAAAATACACATATGTAAAATACACATATGTAAAATACTAATTTTCCATTTGCTCTTTGTTCACAGTCCAGGGACGTGAGCCCCCTGCAGGCTGGAGGATCAGCCACAGAGATTCATTGTCTTTCTGAAGGAGGGGGGTTTGTGGGGGAGGGGGTTTAACTGTGAGGGTGGAAGGTGCTGATGTCACTGTCAGCACGTCCACAGTCAGTGGACGTCCACTGTGGACTGGAGCTGCAGACAAACAGCTAGGGTGTGTGTGACTGTACTTGTTGTCTTTCCTTTTGAAACACTTGTGAAATTTCTCACCAATTTCAGCAGCGTCGTCTCCTGGACTCCCCCGAGCTTCTGTGGATTCTCACCTACATGTGGGTGACATTTCATGTTTGCTACAGAGAGGGGAGATTGGGGGGGAGGGGGGGGGGGGGCGCTCAACAGGGCAAAGGTGAAAACATCTGGACACACAATGTCTACGTGGACATGTCTCTGGGTCTCTGCTCCAGATGGTCCAGCCCGTTACTCCCAGAACTCATTGACCAGGACCGGGGTTCTCACGGCCTGGGGGCCGCCGACTCATTGCTGCGGCCTGGCCTCTGGGGCCTTTGGGGCCTCTGAGGGGCTCCAGGGTCGCCCAGCCATGACAGCCCAGACAATAGAAGTGTCTTCACCCTGCTCCCACCCACCACCCAACAGCACCTCCTAACACGCACACACCGTAATATATTCACTATCACACCCCGGTGTTTGACCTGCACTCCCTTGACCACAGTTGGCAGCCAGCGGCCATGTGGCCAAACATTAGGGACGCAGCTGACATCAGGGACGCAGGTGACCACTGACAGACATTCACAGGATGAGAGAGTGCAGTTACTGTATAGTCCTGGGGGGGAGGGGGCACCATCCGTGGAAACGGCGTCTGTACCATCAACTGAACACGATGACAGGACGTAATTATAGAAAAACACTCCTCCTACGCAGAGTCCAGCCTCCTGTGGAGCAGCTCTACCTCCACTGACGCACAGGTGGATATTTCACTTTGACACAGGAACGTCTTTTATCTCAAAATTCAGAAGCTGGCAGAATTATTTTAGGATTTGACCTTTTTATGCCGAAGACGTTCCTGTGTCTAATTGAAATATTTTTTACGGATTTTACGATTTTGATTTAATTCCTAGAATTCCATGAAAAATTCTGAGAATAATCTTTATCGTCAGTATCTCAGAGTGTTTTTTATTTATGTAAAAAAAGCTAAAATTTCAAGAAACCAAAAGTCAGAAATATTCCTTCTACAAATTCTAAAAAAAACTTAAAAGAGAGTTTAGAGATTGAAGTCAATCTCCTGGGATTAAACCTGGATTACAGTCACTCCTAATTCTGACCTTAAGAACCGCTAATAATCTGAAATAATTCCTCTAACGCTGTTCTGTGGTTCAGTTGAATTCTCCTCCAGTTCTGGCTCCAACAGCTTGGCTGCCACTTCAAATAATCAAATATTAAATAAATCATTTTTGGCACAGTGTGAAGCAGCAGCAGCAGCAGTAGCAGCAGCAGCAGCAGCAGCAAAGGAGAGAGTAGTATAAAGAGAACCCACATACACACATACACACACACATACACACGGCCTTGTAGTTTTGATAAAGCAGCAGCAGCTTCGTCTTTTGTTTCGCGGCAGAGCAGGGATTAGGCAGCGCGGCTCTTTGTCCTGCCGTTTTCCAGTTGAGCAGAACACAAGAGCCTCTACCTCCACTAATACAGTCAGACCTCCCAGCAGGCCTTTCAGCGCACAGCCGCTAAGAACCTGCTGCCCAAAAGATGCTTTCAAGGAGTTATCAAATCTCTCTATACTGTCCCTGCCTTTCAGACCACTCTCTTTGTCTGCTCTTTTCAATGGGGCATTGAACACATCAAATGGAAGTGATGGGCAGATAGCCGGGCAGATAGTGGAGTGTGGCCCGGCCACGCTGACCTCCCTCACACAGCACACTGTACGCTCAAGGTCACCCTGGATTCTCAACGTTCAAACACCGCACATTCAAACCATGTCTACGTGAACCCAGGTCCAGGTCACAGCTCATTGGTCGGTGTGCATCCAATCATTTTAAACTCATTGTTGATAAGTGGACCTTAGATATACACTGTATATGTATATAAGACTAGTCTCTGTGACAGTGATCCAGAGCGTCTGTACATGGACATGATTTTCAGATCCACCTCCACTGGGTTCTACTTCCTGTCTTAACTCTAACCCTAACACCTGCTTCTCTCTCTTTCTGTTCTTACTTTTGTCAACTACTCTGTGGATTTATCTTGTTCTGTCTCTGTCTCTGTCTGTGTGTGGATCCAGCAGGATTTTGGAGTTCATTAACAGACACACCCAGGTCAAAGGTCATGGCCACTGCACGTGGTTGTCATTGTGATCTTCAGACTCCACTTTAACTCCATCACCTGTTAACTGCTCTAAGAACCACCAGGCCATTGTCATGTCACTTAATTTAAAACTTAAAAAAAAAAAAGAATTTGGTTCCTGTTGTTTTGAATAGGAGGAGGTGAAAGGGAACCCCCTCCTCCTTCCACACTGTGGTGAAAATAACGAGGAGCAGCATGATGGCACAGAGGGGGGTGGGGGGGAGGAGGGGGGGCAGAGGAGTTAACCAACCCACTGTCTCCAAACACCAACATTTAAAACATTTCCCAAACAACCAGATCTGATCCAGTTCAGTGAGTACCCCCCCCCCAACCCCACTGCCCCCCACTCATTACTCAGGTGGGCTGTATTCATAATTCATCAACGTGGGTCAAGCCCATGATGGTGTTGACTTAACATTTGGTCTGACATTTCAGCCCGGCTCACGGCCGTCATTAGCTCTCGCCGCACGCCGCCTCATCAAAGTCAGGAGCGCAAGAGAAAAGGAGGAAGAGGAGGAGGTGAAAAAAATAAGGACGATGAAGATGAAGGAAGGAAATTTATGATGTAGTCAAACCTCCAATCCTTCTGCACACACACACACACACACACACACATATTCTTAGAAACTAGCAGCCTCAGCATTTCCAAACTCTGCCAAGTCTGGAGCTATCTGTAATTATTATATAATTATAATTCTGCTTTGACATCTGTCATTACGTCAGGCCTACATTTTGTTGAATTTCTACTAAATAATATTTAAAGCTTTTAGCTTTTCTTCTTCTAACATGTGTCAGTATTTTCACCCGACTCTGGATTTACACCGACAAACGTTGGGAGAACATGTTCTAGACCAGAGGAGGTGGAGCCCATTTCTCCTACAACCATCAAATTGGGAACGTTGGGAACGTGGTGTGTGTTTGTTAAAGTCACATCCACACCAGTGGGGGGCAGTGGTGTGGAGGCAGAGCGGCTCATCTACACCATGTAGACAGACTGATCTGTGTTCTCATTGGCTGAGACACAGACGCTGACACAGTCACAAAAGACAAAGTGTTTCTTACCTGCGACCCGGACCAGGTCGGCTGTGGTCAAGTTGTTGGCGTTGGGTCCAACTCTGAAGGTCAAAGCCGGACCGAGGACACTGAGACAGAGGAAACAAAAACGTGGTTCAATTAAAGGGTGGAGACGTCATACAACCGTGATGTTTCAGCAGTAACACACACACAGACACACACGTACAATGTGGCTCTGAAACCAGAACCCTACTCTGACCCAGAAGGTTTTAACTCAAAAGAACCGGGAACCGAGTCCAAACATTCTCACACATTCATATGAGAAATGAGCTACATGAGGTTGACCCTGTCACCTCCCCACTGTAACACAGGGGGCGCCCATCAGTACGTGGCCCAGAGCAGAGATAAAAACACCAAGATCACGATTTAGATGTATGTGATGTCCTTCCTTTGATCCATCCGTTTATCTTCCATCGACCCTAACACCTACCCGCAGGTGGGTGGAGCCAATCACAGCTGACTTGGACTGCTCTCGAGGTTAAAACAAACAAACAAACAACAACCATTCTTATGTAAAATAATTGAAATATATTTAGCTTGAGTTTGACATTTCAGCTTTTATTCTAGGTTTGGAAACGTTGGTCGAGCTTTGATCTCTGCAATCGTTTCAATACATTCAGTCTTCTTTTGAAACCTTGACTGCAGTGTTTTAGGGTCACTGTGACCTTTGTTACTTTTAAGGCAGATTTGTAGTTATTTAATTAATGTCCAAATCTATATTGATTCTTCAGCAGTTTTTTTTATGACATCACAGTGTATTGACTGATTTCTTACAGATTTCTTTGTTATTTTCACAGCTGTGCTCATTAATATATGATTGTTTTTTCATCAGGACAGACGTCAGTGACACTGCGCTCTCCCTGGAGCAGGATCAATGTTGAAGTTCTGAAATAAAATGCAACAACGGCGGGAGACTGGCTAAGAACTGCCAGCAGGGGTCAGAAAAAGAGCGGTGCAGAGTGAAGTAACAGTTTGTAAAGAAAGAAAAGAAATGGAATCACAGCTGGTTTTCTGATGAGACGAGTAAAGAAGAAGAAGAAGAAGAAGAAGGTTAACGTCCGTCTGACTTCCTCTATCACCGCCTGTGCATATGTTACCACACAAACGTACTGACCGGTACAGAGTACTCAACAAATACAACCGTAGTATTACTACCATTTATTTGAATTATTATTCAAATTATTTTTCTTCCAAGAGATTAGAGCATAACTCTCTCCAGCAGATGGCGACAACCTATATTGCCAATGACACACTACCCTGCACCAGATCACCTACTTACTTTCTATTTAACAATAGAGGGCGGCATTGTCCTCGATGTTCCACAAAGTTCTGCTAACTGTACCTCTGGCAAACTGTCCGTCAACATTTATTCTGTGAACATTTGAAAGTCGTTGTTGTTGTTGTATCCATCTGTTTCCATCTGATTTGTCGACGGCACACCTGCAAGTGTTTTTGTTGTTTTGGGTTTTTTTTTATTAAAAAACATGTATTTTTCTGCCACTCCCAATTTTCTTCCATAATTGGCTTTTCATATATATTACAACAATGTCTATATGACACAAATAGCACTAACATAAAGATGAAGACACACTGACTGCGCTCACACAGTCAGATCGTGTCACCCCAGCCTGGAAAATGTACATGTACTTTTACTGTACAGTACTGCATTATAGAGGGTAATATTTGTCACAGAACACTGGGACCCAGACCCAGTCAACACCAGTCAGTCCACTTCAGAGGGACAAATGGACGGACGGATGGACAGACAGACGGACGGATGGGCGGACATACAGACAGACAGACAGACAGACGGCCGGACGCGGCCACACACCTCTGGATTTGTGGACATGATTACTCAGAGAGGACACACGTATGTCTGTGAAAGAACTATATCTGTGGTTGGTGTCTGAACACAGGCGGTAAATGTCAATATTTCCACCAATGCCACGGCTGACAGCAGTCTCCCTGAGGTACAGTGTTCTGCCTCAGACGTGGATGTGTCGACATCGAAGTGACGTGATCCTTTTCTTTCTCCTCAGACACACACTCCTAGAACAAATTCAAATTTGGAGGTGGAAGCTGTGGCTGAAGATGAAGACGGACGCGTTATCTGGACGACTTCACACTGTGATTTCCAATGTGTGATCTTGGACTTTATATCAGCTCTACTGGTGAGATGTAATGAGTGTGTGTGTGTGTGTGTGTGTGTGGTGAATGGATAAGAGGATATTGGCAGAGGATGTGACTGTGTGTGGGTGGTTGTTCGTCTGAACAGCCCGTGTGTGAGGACAGACTTGTGAGTATGTGTCCGACTCCCCCTAGTGTTCCTCACAAGTAAAACACTTACGTCATCTAAATGAAGCACACATCGTCCCTTCAGCTCATCATCGTCCTCCAGACTCACACTTTCATATCTCTTCTAAAATGCAATATTGTGCCGGTCATTGTAGAGCCAACTCAGACAGATATTATCATCTCTTCACAACGGCCCATTCTGAAGTCATTCCATTCTGTCTGCCTGTCGTCATATTTCACTATCTCCTCCTCTGCCCCCATCAGGCCCCATCAGAGGGAAAGTAAGAGAGAGGAAGCTCAGCCCTGATGAAGAGCGCGGCGCTCTGACCCAGAGCTGCCTCATATTCAGAGCCAGGCTTTCAAACCCTCACCTGCTGTGGCTGCACAGCAAGAGTCACAATGGAGCGGCGTCCACTTCTCCATCTCTGTCCTTTCTACATGAATGTGTTTCATTAGTTGGTCAGAAGAGAGAGAAAGACTAGAAACCAAGTCGTCAAAGAGAACATTTTTCTGTCATCAACACGAGGCGTACTACGACGTGGAAGATTTATCAGCTGCGGCTGCACGCCACCGCCACCGTCCCAACACTTCACATACATCCAGTACAGGTACGGGTACGGGTACAGGTACGGGGACAGGTACGGGGACAGGTACGGGGACAGGTACGGGGACAGGTACGGGGACAGGTACGGGGACAGGGAGAACTACAGGGACAGGGACAGGTAGACCTACAGGGACAGGTACAGGGAGACCGACAGGGACAGGTACAGGGACAGGTAGACCTACAGGTACGGGTACAGGTACAGGTACGAGGACAGGTACGAGTACAGGTAGACCTACAGGTACAGATACGGGTACGGGTACAGGTACGGTCACTGCCACTGCATCACTAACACAATGTTCCCATTGTTTAAGTCACAACTGGATACAATGGGGAGATCAGTGCGCCTCCTGGAGGTCATCAGGGCCTGATTTCTCGTCCTGTAAGAAGTTGACCGCTCCAAAAAGTCAGAAGACGAGGACAGAACCCTTGAAAAGGACAATATTGTGGCCAATTATTCTGTTGAGTGTGTGTGTGTGTGTGTGTGTGTGTCTAATAAACCGTGGGTTGAATGGGTTGTAGCAGCAGCTGGACACACAAACACACACCTGACACACACACACACATTCTAATACACACTTTACACTGTCCTGCCTGCAGTCCAACATGTTGGTGTTTCATGGAAACAACATTCCAGCAACCACAGATCTTTACTGCCCCCTGTCTGAGGGTTTGAAACTGTGTGACGTTAATATTCTTTCTGTTTAATGTGATATCAAGTTTCTATTTCCTGTGACTTTAGAAAAGAAGGTCGTCGGACATACGAGAGCTGGGTGAGGTCGGTGGCGTGGAGGTCCAGCTTCTGTGTGAGCCGCTCCATCAGGTCCAAACCCTGGTCTGATGTCAGGGAACTGTGAAGGACACACAAACAGGCATGGGGGGGGTCAGAGCTGGGGGGGCGCAGCTGTACACACATGTACACAGATACAAACACACACACAGAGATGCAGCGCTGTTGCCCCCCCCCCCAGGCTCGGTAAATCACCAGCTTTTTTCCCTGGAACGAGAAAAAAATTAGGTGAAAATGGAACCTGTCTGTGGTGTAATGGCTGCATCACATGGACGAGACGTGTCCTCGTCTCCTCCACACAACATGAAGCAGGATGAGACAGCCTACACACACACACTCTCAGTCGCTGATATGACAATAATAAGGTGCAAATGGAACGGAGGTGAAGTGTAATGGTGGTCTGATAAAGACGTGCCTCCTCTCAGCTCAGTCCACTGTCTACCTCTCTCTCTCTCTCTCTCTCTCTGTCCCTCCCTCTCTCTCCTTCCTTCTTTCACTCACTCAGAGAATAAATTGTCAAGGAAATAGACCAAACAAAGGCAATCTACGGGCCAACGCTCAGGATGGAGAGAACGAGGACACACACACACACACACAACACAGCTACTGTAGTGTATTGCTAACAGCTAAGACGAGGTTATGAACGAAGTCCAAACTGAACAGGAAACGTGTTTCTTTCTAGATAACAGTCTGTGAGTTAGCAGCAACGACTTTAATCAAAACTGTCCTTGAAACACCTGGAACTTCCTTGGTCTCCAACCTGTTTGACTACAAAACAACAACTACACAATAGTACACAATAGTACATAATAGTACACAATAGTACAAAGACCAACACCAATACACTGGTGTGATGGTAGCTTCAACCAGACCACAGACTGACTGTGGTTCAATCGTCCTCTGAACAATAGAACGTACGGCTGTAAAACACCACATGTTAAATTATGGCCACTGTTTTTCATGGACCTTATTTTTGGCACCACAACAACAACACACCCCACCACTGAGAGACGACCTGCTTCATTTCTTCCAACTTTTTGAGGGATTTTTTGAAAGCCATTCCAGACACGTTTGTTTCCCTTCGTGGTAATTCTAACAACAGGAGAGAGCGCCGCGAGTGACTTGGTTGTTGATGCTAACGCTTTTCCCCTTGGATTTCTTCCTGTCTCTTTCGCTTCTATCGTCTGACTTCCTCCCCTACGCACACAAACATTCCACAATCCCACTCTTCTTTCTATTCCCCGAGCCTCCTCCCCCCCAACACCACCACCACTACTACAATGTCAGGAGCTGTCAGATAAGCAGGTTCGCATCGCCTTCACTGCAGTATGGCGAGCAGCGGGGGATAACAACCGTGCAATCACACAGTGAGAGCAGCGGCCTATAGAAGGAGGAGGTGAGGAGTCTCCTCTCAGAAGGTGACCTGTGTCCGTCGCCCCGGCAAATCAATGCTGCATTTACACTCAGTTTTCATCCTAATCCCACTCTCTGTGTGTGCGGCTGACGGAGTCGCAGCTTTATGAGCCCGCGTCTGTGGAACAGGTGAAGGACAACCAGCTGACACCCAACTTGATAAGGCCATAAAGGGATTTGAGCGAGAGCCAGGGGCGAAGACATAGTCGATAGGAACTTATCTTGGCTGAGCCTGAGCTGAGTGGGGGGGTGAGGAGGGCAGAGAACGACAGTGGGAGAGAAAGGCAGATCTTGGCCAACCTTCCTGACAAAGTATTATCATTAAAGGTGTAATACAGCAGAGTAATACCCACACACAGCCAGGGATTTATCATCCTGCCTATTGTAGTCAGGTGCAGCACACACCACCACTGTATCCATTCTTCCCTGGCACTGGTGGGTGGTGATGACACAAATGGATTCTGTTAGAGGTGGTTCTTAACTTAGTGAACAGAGCCCACGTATGCACGGTATTAAAAAAATGTCAATGCCCTGAAAGAGGTCCAACGGAGCAATAAACCCCTGGGGGTGGGGGGGGGGTGACTTCAGCACAACAATCGTCGATGTTGTTGAACTCGGAGCACAGCGTCTGAGCTAACGGCTGTTAGCCACAGTAAAGCACCAGCAGACAAACTGGGAACATGTGTGTTTACGCATACGCAATAAATGCTGCGTAAACACACACAGAGCTCCAAAAAGAACAGCCAAACACTCCTTTAATGACTGCGGCTGTTTCATCAAAACAATTTTTCCTTTTTTTTAATACTTTGTTTAGAAGCAAGGAAGTGAATAAAAGTCAGTTCAGGAATAACTAAACCCAAATAATAGATAAAGCAATATATTTATCAAATCATTAGAAACTGCTAAAAGTTAAAGCTAAGTTTAACTGAAACAAAAGTCAAAGACGCAGAAAGAAGAGGTTGTCCAGGTGTCTGGTTCCAGAACATTCTCTCATGGACACCAGTGGAGTGGTCGTCATTAACTAAGTTAGTCCAATGAACCAAGGCTAACTAGGGTTAAATCATTAACAAAAGCAGCCAACAGTTGGCCGTCAACAGACACCACAGAAAATCCAGTAGAGTAAAAACTAAATATTAGAGAAGAATTCACACATGATGTCAGTTAGCTCCTCCTCCTCCTAAGTCAACGTGACGTCATTAATTACTCGTTGACTACAACCATAAATACAGGGACAGATTAATGCTAATCTTTATTAACTACTCACTCTGATCCAGTGATGATGTAGCCAAAGTGTCTGTCCTGCCCCCTGCTGGAGAACTCCTTCACCCCTATATGGACCAGCTGAGTCTTCACTTTCACGTTCTTCTTCTCTGGTTCTTCCTGCTGCTGCTGCTGCCCCTTCTGGTCGTGGATCTGCTGCATCCACCCGTCCACCTCAGAGTCCACCACAGTGTGGGGCTGCTCTACTCCCCCCGTTAATCTGAGCCTGGTTCCTTCCTTCACCTCCTCCTCCTCCAGGCCTTGGTGCACGGGAGCTTGGCCCTGAGATGTATGACTCTGGATGCTCTCCAGTCCCACCTGGGCCTGAGGAGGAGTCGGGGGTCCGACACCGTCGTTATGAAGAGAGTCCATGTTGAGGTAGTCCAGGAGTTTGGAAAAGAAAGCTGCATTCTTTAGAAAGCAGACGGGAACGTTTGGTTTTATATTTGTCAGAAAATAAAAGATGAACTTAAACACTTTTTCATAAATGTCCATGACTTGATGCTTTTAACTCTGTGTGAGTGCTGCATGTTCAGACCCATTAACAATCCACTCTCTGTGTTTTGTTCCTCCAACAAACCTGCTGTTTTTCTCAGATAATATTAAAGTAATTACATGAAGCAGAACGGTTCTAATTAAAGGTCAATCAAGACATTTTCCTTAAAACAACTTAGACACCACCTCCAGTCAAAAGTGAATAAAGTGGAGGTCTGTGCCCACCCACCGCCCTACTCCACCCCACAGCAGGAAGAGAGTAAGTTGAAATATACCTTGTCCAGCGGCTCTTTGTCTCCACCATCTGTTTGTTTTCCTGCAAACAAACAATGTGATCAGACTGGACTGAACACTGAGAATTAAACAGACTGCAGCTTCTTATCGCCCCCTATCTGAGAAAGAAATATGAAGCAGTTTTTCCTTCCTACCTTTCTGTTCCATCTGAATTGAGTCTTTTTGGCTGGACCCCTGGTTCTGGTTCAGGTTCTGACCCAGTGTCATGGCGGACAGCATCTCCCTGTTCACACCCTTCATGGTGGCCATGGAGTCAGGTTGGGCCCCAGCCAACGGCCGCTCCTGGTCCACCTCCTGCAGAGCTCCAGTGATGACCTCAGCCAGCTGATCCAGGTCGTTGGTCATCAGAGTCTCCAGGTTGATGCTGTGTCCATCCAGCTGCTTCGCCACCTTCTGGATCAATCGTTCTGGACAAGAAGGAGGAGCAGGAGAAGAGGGAGTATGGGGAGAAGGAAAACATTACATATTTCACCGTTAATTATTCATCAGAAAACCAATACTGTATAGTCAAAGCAAATATTGCAGTATTTGAGAGTATCTGTATTTTCAAGCAAACAACAGCAAATGACTGTGTTGAAAACAAGTAAATAAATAAATAAATGTGTAAACTGTCAAGCAGAAAAAAAAATCATTTTCATTTCATTTTCATCATTTTTCTAATTAATCACAATTAATCTGGACTAATAGACATAAATCTAAAATATTTAATTTGGCAAACAAAACAAAAAAAAAATCAAAAATGTCCAACAGTCAGAGTGAAAATGTCTTCTTCTGGACCAGGTCTGGTAGAACCTGTGGAACCTGGTTCTCTGTAGACTTCAGTCCAGTGGTCCTCAACCACATGAATCAGTCTACAGTCCTGGACAGTCTATCTGACTGTTGTGTCAGTCACACTGTCAGTCAGAGACTGACTGACTGTCCTGACCTCAGTCAGGCTGCTGTGACACCAGCCGGGGCCGCTGACCTGAGGTTGAAAACCCACAGACACATGCTGGGAGTTGATGATGGGACGTTCAGATAAACAGTGATGTCATTCTGCCCTCTGTGTTCAAGAGACTTCAAAGTTTCATTTGATTAATTTCACTGATTAATTAACTGACAACAGCAACAGCAGCAGCAACAGCAACAACAGCAACAACAACAACAACAACAACAACAACAACAGCAACAACAACAACAACAGCAGCAGCAACAACAACAACAACAACAACAGAACAAACAGTTCTCACCATCCACAACACTCAGAGGTTCTTTGGCTGCCACTGGGTGGCGCCCAGCCTCCAACAGAAGCTGGTGGAGGTTTGGCCTCTGGGTTTTGGAGCTCAGGGTCTCCTGGGACGGCAGCTTCGTTTGTTCACTCAGACCAGGACCAAAGTAGCCCAGGTACTGGAGCTGCTCTCTGGGCCAGGACGCCTGGTCTCCTGCTGATTCCTGATGAATCCCTGGAGCTCCGCCCAGAAGCCTCTCCAGATGGTTGGACCGCAGCTTGCCTCTGACGGGGTCTTGGCTGGAGTAGGATGAGGTGAGTTTGGGGTGTGGGCCCTCCCCACCCTGGGTGAAGACTTTGGTGAGAGGAGGTGAGCCGTCTCCTCTGTGAAGACTGTAGACGGTGGTCTCCTTCCAGCCATGTTTGGGTTTGGACCAGCTGGACCAGACGTCTTCACTCTGCAACACAAACCTCTGTTGGTTCTTTTACATAGATCTGGATGTATAGAATATACCGTGGATTTACATTGTTCCTTCACTCTCTGTTAAATTTCTCAGGAAACACTACAAAAATAAAAATCATAGATGGCACCAGTCGCCCCCCCCCCCTCCCCCCACTGGCCTCATTAATGAGACTGGATGACTGACTTTGTCTCATTAGATAGTTAATTAGGAGTGGTGGATATGAATGTTCTACTATTTTAGGGACTTTAATCAGAATAAGTATCTGCAGATGATCTGAGTACCTGCTCAGTCTTTAATACTCAGTGAGTAAGACAGAGTACCTGCAAAACACATACTGTACACACAAAGAATGTGCAACACCAAAGTTAACACCTGGAATCGAACCATGGACCTTTTTACTGAAAGGCCACAGCACTAACCACTGTCCATCTCATGGTTGGTTTATGAACATGTTAGCCTGCTGATGCTAGCACTAAACCCACAAGAGGTACGTCCTCTCAGAGACCCTGGCCCGACTGTGGTCCCTGCTCTTTATGTAGTAAATATTCAACCTCTCGTCTTCTACTGCAGTGGTGGGGGGTGGGGTCATTCAGTCTACTGTAGACCTGAGTGACATTATTATCCATGTAGCTGCAGCACTGACAGCACTGACATCACTCTCTCCCCTGGTGGTTCTTCTAATGTATAGAGAGAAAATGTCAGTCTCTCCAAGCCCAGCACACAGGCAGCCCATAATGGCACTAGCACAGCAAGGCGGGGTGCGCTGCCATTCATGCTAGCCATCGCTGCCTTTTTCCATCACGCCGAGCAACAAAGGGTCTGATCTCATCAATAAGGAAAGGTCGTGAACTCTTTAACTTTGCATTACGACGGCACTGACACAGCAGCAGGACGCGGCGCGTTTGTGAAGGACGTCCATTACACAACAATGCTGGGGTTGACGCCCTAAATATGAGGGCTGAATAATGTAAAGAGGTGAAGAAGGATCTTTGTGTAGAAGGTCCCAGCCCAGCAGGGGGCAGTGAGGGAGACAGAGATAGAGAGACAAAAGCAAAGCGGGGATGAGAGGGCGACCCCAGGAAAAGACCGACACCCACTCTGACTCTACATAATAGGAAGAGGCCCTTCCACAGGAAGTGTGTACTACTGAGTACAGAGGGATATTTACAGCCTTGACCTTTGGCCTTTTGATGCTACTGGACAGTATATCATCTTTAACAGAGTAGGAAAAAATCAGACATTTAGACATGAATGAACTTGGATGGATGGATGGATGGATGAGAGGGGGTGGATGGAGGAAGGGATGGAGGGGGGGTGGATGGATGGATGGATGGA